TACATATTTGCTGATTTCCCTTGTGATTTTTGTCTTTGACTCACTGGCTGTTTAAAAGTGTGTCGCTTAATTTCCAATCTTGTGAATCTTCCAGTTTTCCTTCGGTTATTATTGATTTTTAACTTCATCCTGCTGTGGTCAGAGAACATACGTTCTACAATACCTGTCTTTTAAATTCATGGAGACAATTTATGGCCCAACATAGGTCCTATCCAGAAAAACGCCCTGGGTGCACCTGAGAATGTGTACCTGTTGCTGGGTAGTGTTATCTATGCTAAACCTAGTTGGGTTATGGTGTTTTAAGTCCTCTGTTTACTTATCTTCCATCTGGTTGTTGTACCCATTATCAGGAGTTGGGGACTGAGGGCAGTTCTGTAAAACTGTCCGTTTCTCCTCTCAATTTTGTTATTTTTGCTTCATGTATTTTGATAGTCTGTCAATAGGTGCATAAATGTTTATACTTGTTGTATCTTCTTGCTGTATTGATACTTATTAATAACATCCTTCTTTGTCTCTTATAAACTTTAAAAATTTAAAGTCTGTTTTATCTGATATTGGCAGAGCCACCCCATTGTCTTTTGGTTACTATCTGAATGGAATCATTTGCTTTGCATTAGTTTCCTTAATTATGCAGGCCCAGCGTCCAGGGTTTGTGTGGCCCCCCAAGCACCTAGGAGGCGTGGGGAAACCAAGGCAGCAGGGCCAGAACCAGCTGCCAGGGGCCCTCCAGCCCGTCTTGGTGAGGAGTCAGGGCCTCCTGGGCAGGCTGAAGACGAACAGTCATCCGGCCACTGGAGGGCAGAGGCACTGAGTGAGTGCTGGGCCAGGACCTCCATGTACGGACAGCAGCACCTGCCACCGAGGCGGGAAGCCCCATAAAAAAAACCAGCAGGGCCTCCAAGCAGGGCCACTACTCTCCTGCCAGCACCACCTGGTTCCCTGGCCCAGTGGCTCTATCTCACTTTTTGCCTCTGAAACGGCTTGCTTACTCCTAAAATTCTATTGGTTCCCTGAGCTCACTTCTGATTGGTTATTTCCTTCACTCCTGATTGGTTATTACTCTCACTTCTGATTGGTCCACTTGTAGTACTTCATTTGCCTGGAGTTCACTCCTGATTGGTTATTTCTCTCACTCCTGATTGGGCTATTTCTACAAAGCTTGTTCCTGGTTGGTCAACTTCTGTTATACTTTATTTGCATATGATGTTGTAAAGTGTAAAACCGGCAGCCTATAAACGCCTGTGTAAACCTACAGACGGGGTCCAGAGCCTGGAGTGTTAACTCCTCTGGGCCCGCCAGCGTAATAAACCTGAGTTCTCCAGCTCTCTGAGTGCTGCTTGGTCTCTCGCCCAGATCCAGGTTGCTGTCACAACTGAGCTGTAACACTGAGCTATAACACGTTTTTCTACACCACCACCTCAGAAGCCCCTCTGCTGGTGCCAGGGGGGAGTCTAGATCTGTGATGGGGACCCTCGGAGCCCCCCATCTGCAGAGCCGGCCTACTCCTCGCTGACCTCCGCAAGCCGGGGAGTCCCATGACTGAGGAGGGTCAGCATGGAGGCCGGGGTGGGGCGGTCCCTGTTGTGCAGGAGGGGGTGACTCCCAGCTGCGGGAGCTGGGAAAGCACCTCAGGGTCTGACAAATTCTGAATCTGCTGGTGGGGCGGGTGACTGGAGAGTCTACGACATGGGAGTGAATGCCCTTGCAGCTGCTGGGCCGGCTCTGGGGAAGTCAGACCCTCAGCAGGACCCAGGGGACACCGCACAGATGAAGGCCTGCACTGCCGAGAACCGAGAGCTGCAGAGTGGCTGCACTCTGAGATGTGGCCTGAAGGTGGCAGGGGTCGTTGGGGTCTGGTCCCCAAGCAGCAGGGGCAAGGGAGTGGGGGCTGAGGTTCCCCCAGGAGCAAAAGGCCAGAAGCACTCACATGCCCTGAGCCGTGGCTCCCTGTGGTGACTGGGGCAAGCTGGACGGGCAGCCGACAAGATGTGTACACAGAGCAGAATCCAATGACCACGCAGACAGCTGTCACCCTCCTCGTGGGGGCCTCGGCCCACCCCCAGCGCCCAGACCCAGGCAGTCCTCAGACGAGAACCACTGGCCAGAGGACACCAGGGCAAGTGTCTGGAGCGGTGAGCCCCCAACCCCTCCTGGGGGACCCACAGCATTCACTCCCAGGATAGAGGGGCCACCACTGACACCATGGACCCAAAGCACCACCAAGGCCCCTCTAAAATTGGGGCTTAAGGGGCCAGCTATGCACTGGTCACTTCCCTGACCAGGATGGACAGGCTGAGCTGCTGGCAGAAGCTGCCCACTGACTCCCCTGCCGTCAGTGACTACTGCTGTGGCAGGAGGGGCCGGTGGGAGCCCTGATCCCATGCCCCCTCAACCCCCAGAACCCCACCTGGGGCGGAGTGGCCCAGAGCACCTAAAGGAAGGGAGCGTCTCCACCACCGTGGCCCGGTTAACCCGCCTGCCAGCGCCCGCACAGCCGGCCCGACCCCGGCTGCGTAGGGCCCAGAGTCCTTGTGTCCCGTTGTCCAGGCCCCAGAGCACCACCGCTTCATGCTGGGTCCACACTCAACGCAGACTCACCTCATGTTCCCTGGGGCTCACCTGAGTCCCGACCAGAGGCGCCAGCTGTCCCCTGGCCCCCCCGGGCCCTGCGTCCAGTGCGCGACTTCGGCCCCGCTGGGTCACTCCCCCCAGCAACGTCCACCCTGCTAACAAGGTACCTGTCAAGGGATTGCCTCCAGCAGCTCCATTTTCACTCCTAACAGCTCTATCTGCTGGTTCTGCGTTTCTGTGCTTTGGAGTCTCCATCTTTGCTTGCACTTTGTATTTATCGTTTTCATGACACTAAGTTGTCATGTGGTTCAAAGGAAAACTGGCTGCTGCGATCCCCGGGGGCCTGGCTCTGTGGCCGCGTCCTCCTGTGCTGGCTGAGCCAATGAGTGGCCACTCCGTATCTCAGCTGGAGCCCTGAGGCCACCTCGGGCTCCTCCAGGACAAGGTAGGTGCCTTTCCTTCTACCAACCAGGCTTCTCCCTTGAATTTCCGGGGCTACGGGCAGTGTAGGCTGAGGCCCACAATGGGGAAGGCTGTGACCCCACCCCTTGTTCTAGGCTGAGCGCCTGCCGTGGGCTGGCCTGGGACACAGTGTCAGCAGACGAGCCCGTCCCCAACGCGGTGGACACCTAGGAAGCTCGCTCGGCCTGGGCCCGGGCTGCTGGGGAGAAGGGCCCCTTGCCTCTCAGTGTTGTGTACGGCACTCACACTCCCACAACGTGGGAGCCTGACCAAGGGCGGCCGGGGTGGGCTCCCCACAACCCTCCACCTGGGCTGTGCAATGTCTTCAGTGAGGACAGCGTTTCCGCTGGAGGAATGGCTGCTGATTCGGGGCGGGGCCAGGGACAGGACACACCTGACTGCGTCCACCCACTTCCACACGCGTGCCCCCCGCCCGGCCACCCCCAGTGCACCCCTGGGGCACGAGCCTGAGCCAAGTCCCGCTTGGGGTCCGGCTCCAAGAGGTGGGGTCGTGGGGCCCTCTCAGACGGGAAGCGCCTTGTGGCCCGTGCTCCGTCCCTGCTCCCACATCCAACGGCCTGGAGAGAACCACAGACAGGCCCGCGAGAAGCAGCACAGCGCCGCCCTCCGTGCTCCGCGCTCGGCGTGAACCTCTCAGGCTCACGTTTGGAACCCAGCCTTGCTCCCCGCCTGCGTCCAGTGTGCTGGCGGGCTTACGCCGACCGCTGCGCCCCTGCTTGTCGTGACCCAGGCTGAAAGCACACAGCAGAACCACCGGCGGACTTTCCCTGGAGGACTTGACGTCTCTGTTTTCACACAGACCGTTTATTAAATTAGAAGACTGAGAGTAAAAACACATTTTACAATCCAAGAGGAATCTGGACATTGGACCCCAACAGAATGATCAGAAACGCAAAGCTCTGAGGACCATTTCGGCAGCCATCGCACAGCAGACGCCCCAGGGCCCGTGACAGGGCGCGGAGCGGGGACGGGGGAGGGGCTGATGGAAATGCTTCTCTCCTCACCAACACGGCCAGACTGGACCCAGAGCAATCGTCAGAGCAGCAACAACCTGCAAGGCACTGCGGCCCCCGGACCCAGCATCTGCGGGCGCCCGAGCCTGGGGAGGCCTCCCTGAGGGGCTGCACCACCCACGACACAGGGCCCGACTGTGACCACGGCAGATGGGAGTCTGATTTAACTAACAAAGGCTTCACACCACGTGCGCCCTGTGATGTGCGACGGAAGCAGCGTCCACAGGAAGGGAGGTGCGGTGGCAGGTTTGGGGCCTGTCCTGAAGCCACGCCCCCCTTCCCCACAAACAGAGGCCCCAGGGGCCGCATGTATGCGAGCAGGCAGGGCGCGCCTGTGCCCTGCAGTCACCACCTAACACCAGGGCCACCGCCGCCCATCCAGTGCTCTCGAGCATCAGAGGGCCAGTCTGCAGCAAGGCACAGGTGGTCCAAACCACCCCAACGCAGCTCCCCACCCAGGGCCACCGCCCGGACAGCAAGCCTGATGCACCCCTCGGGGGCAGAAAGCAGCCTTTCTGGCCGACATCACACCTAGCCTGTGCGTGCAGGCGCAAGGCCCAAGTTCAGGTCCTGACTCCCTCTGCCGACCTTGCACAGAAGTCCACGCTGCGGAGATCCACCTCCGTGTCCAAAGGCTGGGCGCCTCCAAGGACGGAGCAGGGGCCACGTGCGTCTCCCAAGCACCCGTGTTATTCTAAGGGCATCGCTTTCGAGACACTTCTCAGGTATCTGATTCTCGTGAATGTCACCCAGCCTGCCCCAACCTCTGCGTCCGAGGCCGCAGCCGGGCCAGGGTGCGGCCCGCACAGCACGGGCACCACCCGCCTCTAGGGAAGACTTCAGATGCCCATGGTCACCAGACGTCCTCCCTGTCATCCAGACTGAGCGACAGCACGGGGGCCCCACGTGCTCTTAAATTAACATCAGCAGTGAGCCAGCGGTTCCTAAATGCCCTTTAATAAACAAAACAAAGTACTGGACCGACTTCTCACACCTGCAGCCTCAGGTTCTGCAGCAAGAGGGGGTCACAGCAAGGGGCTGCAACCCCTGCCTCTCGGAAGCACGCTGCGCAGACTCAGTGTGAAACAGCAGGAGAGACTTCAGGGGCCTCCAGAGCTGAGGACAACGGCTCTGCACGCCCGCGGGCGAGGCCAGCCCAGACCCTGGTCAGCAGGCCACAGAGCACACCGAGGGAAGGAGAGGCGCCCTCAGCCTGAAAGTTCTAACAATAACCCCAGGCCAGCTGCTCGTGGACTCTACGTGCCTTAAACTCACGAGTCTCCCGGCTCAGGTGGCGTCATCGCAGGCCAGCAATCAAACCGGAGGCGGCTCAGCGCTAAGGCCCTGGCGGGACAGATGCTCCCAGGAGAGCCTCCCGGGCGGCGAGAGGGGGAACACACGTGCCCGGGGGCGGGAAGCCAGCGAGGGTACACGGGACACGCCACGGTCGGCTCTTCTCCGATGTGAAGCAAGAGGGAAGCCACCCACCCAACCCAATCGACGCTGAGAGCAGCTGTGGGATGAAGACCACATGCACCGACAAGGGAGGGGACGGGGACGCGGATGTTGGGGGGGGGCGACACGGCGCTTTCACAGGAATCGGCTTGGGGCGGGGCTCCCGGGGACGCCTGGCCCACGGGTCCGGGCTGCAGCGAGGCACGGGGCGCATCTAGGACTCCTCGCCCATCTGAAGCAGGGAGTTGATGGCGGCGTCCCGGCTGCCTCGCTGGGCCTCCAGCACGGAGCGGATCACCTCCCGGTCCATGTTGGGGAACATGTCCTGGATGGCTCTCAGGTCCTCCTCGTTACAGCGGGGCTGGGCGCTCACGGCTGGGGGCAGGGCCATGGGCACCATGCCGGGGCTGCAGACGGCGGGCATCCCTGCAAGCAGAAGACGAAGTTCAGGGACAGCGGAGCGTCACTGACGCTCAGGCTAGCTCTGGCCACAGGGAGGAAGCGACGTATCCCATGGGCCTCCCCAGGAGAGCGGCCCCGACCCCATCTCGTCTCCCAGCACGAGCTCAGAAGCCGGCCAGGCGCTCGGGGGGACCCAGTGTCCGGCAGCTCCCACGAGCCCACCGCACAGCAGGGGCAGCGGGGGAAGGTGCTTCACGCTCTGGCCCCAAGGATCTAGGGCACTTGCGTCGCACGGCAAACCCCCGCCACAGACCAGGGGCCACAAAAGCAGCCCCTTCCCGCACAGCACTCGTGGCGACAGCAGGCAGCCTGCAAGGCGCTCACAGGCACCAGGCGGCCATGTGCCAGGTCTCCACGGGGGGGCCTGGCTGCCGGCCCCACCAGTTACAAGTGGGGCTCCTGGTGTCACCTCCTCACGCCAACTACGTTCCCTTCACTCCTGTCAGACGTGGGTGATGAACTAGGAACCTGGCGACGTCTGAGCTACTGGAAAATCCAGGCTGAGGGTGGGGGCCAGAGCTGGGCCCCGCCGGCCTGCCAGGGCCGGGCAAGGACGCCCAGACAAACCCCGGGGGGGTGTGCGAGAGAGCCCGCAGCTAGCAGGCACCTCACCAGAGAGGAAGCGGGGCTCCACCCCGTCACCCCTTACACAGCACAGACCACACTCCCGACCCAGCCCCGGGGGCGCTGGGCTGAGAAGGAAGTTCAGGACATGATGCCTTCTCCCCGTCTGCAGTCAGAAGGCCCTAGGGGCAGCCCCACGCTGCCCAAGTCAGAACCGGCGGAAGGGCTGATAGGCACTGAAATAGTGGGAGCTGGCCACGGGTGCACGGCCGTCTCCTGGGACAAGGGCGCAGACCCGCTGGCAGCGGCGCTCGCGTCCCCTCCCAGGTCCCTCCTGGGCCACACTGTGCCCAGTACCCGCCCGCACACCTCACACACGGGCCTTTGGGCCTGATGTCCTGAAAGGCGAGAGGTCACCCAGGTCCCAGGTGAGGCCCTCGAGCCTGGTGAGACCAGGCCCCAGGTCGTCCTGGGAGCAGGAGTCAGGCCAGGAAGGCGCTTGCCCACCACCTTTCAGCAGCGGGGAGAAGGGAGATGAAACCTGGGAAGCGGGGGCGGCCTCCAGGACCCTTCCTGCCTTCCCCACGGGGAACGAGGGTCAGGCCACAGCCTCTCCCGTCTCCAAGACAAGCACCCTGTCACGCCCTGCAGTCGGCAGAGCCCCGCACGTGGCGGGGAGGTCCGCACCGTGCAGGGCAGACGCCCACGCGGCAGGGGACGCGGTGCCCAGGTCTCCTCCTAGCAGCCAGGTGAACCCACAGTCCCCGCAGACCCGCTCTCCCCAGCATCCCTACGCTGAAACGGGAGTGGAAAGCCGGGGGAGGGGGCGTCTCTGCAAACCCATAGCCCCTCGGAGGCCCGGCCAGTGCACCTCAGGGATGGTGTCCTATAGGCAGTGCCCAGGGCTGTGCGGGCGTCCTGTGGAACGGGGCATGTTCCTGAACCACCAACTTAACAGCCTGGACGTGTGTCAAACCCTCCTTGAAGCCTCAAGAGTCGATGTGCTGGGGCTGGCAGGGGGCATCTCAGGGAACAGGGAAAGAGCGCTGGGGCCTCAGTGGTACCCAAGACAGTGCCCTGGGGCTGGGCAGGTGGAGGCAGCGGAGCTCCAAGAGGGAGGCTCCTCCCCATCATCTTCCTGGGAGCCTACGGGTTTCCAGGCTGAGCCAGCAAGGGCACACGGCCCCCGGGCTGCACACAACATGGCCCAGAGCCCCCAGCGCCCACCCCGGGAATGATGGCCCCCATCAGTGCTGCAGACAAGGACGCAGGTGGGGACAGGGGCTCCATCCACGTACCTGCGAGAGGAGGGGCAGAGGGAACGGACAGAAACCACGTGAACTCATGGCACCCCCAGCAAGCAGGAAAAATCCAAGCTCGGCACCCACGTGCTTCCCGCCACAGGGCTCACTGGCAAGACACCCACACCAACTGTCAAACCAAACCTGGGTGCAGGCTGGAGCCAGGACGCGGAATCCTGAGGTCAGGATTCCAACAATCCCCAGTCACCCAGAGTGACAGCGGACAGCTTCGCTTGGCACCGCCTCCCACCTCCCCTCGTCTGCATGGCAGACACAGACCTGCTGCTGGGGTCACACTCCCACCGCCGGCACTTCTGGGAACAGCAGAGACGAAACCCTGAGTCTCTGCAGCCCAGCTCCCTTCCACCTGGGGACGGTCTCAGGTCTCAAGCTGGGAGGCAGGTGGCTTCGAGGGCAGTGGACACGGGGTCCTCACGTGAGGTCCACACCTCACCCCAGAAGGCAGTGGCTGGACCGTGGGTCTAGAGCTTTGGGGACGGGCACATGGCATCTTTGTCCACACCTGGTCTCCCCTGTGTCCCTGGGCCTCCCACTGCCCAAGTCCTGCCTGGTTTTATGGCCGCTAATGTGGGAACCTAGCTGAGTCCAGTCACCGCCAAGGCCAGAGTGGAGCTGACCAGCAGGCCAATGTCAGGTGGAAAATTCAAAGGCATGAAAGCCACGCGGATCCAGCTCCACTCAGCCACGCTGCCCTCGGCTGCTGACTCGCAGGGGTAAATAAGCAGGACAGAAACACTAACGTCGGCGCACACAGCTCACCCAACTTCCTAGGAACGTGACCTCGAGTGGCGGTAACTCACGCGCTGAAATGTTCAGAAACTGCACTTCTACACCTCTGTAAATTTCAGCTCACCTCATTTGTGTCCACGGTTAGGGAAAAAACAAATTCTATTCTTGACATACGCATAAGAAATTCAAACACAGCCCCAGACCCTGGCCCCCTCTGATGCCGCCCCCCGCGGACGCGCCCAGGAGAGCAGAGCACACACCTGTGATGGGGACATAGCCGACACCCTGCTGGTACACGGTGGGCATGAGGACCACAGGCTGAGGCGGCATCACCATGGCAGCCGGCAGCGACTGAAACACAACAAAGACGATCAGGGGGTCACAGAGGAACACGGCACATCCCAGCCTCATCACTTCCCGCCTCAACAGAACCACACGAGGAGGGGCAGCATAGGGCCCAGAGGCTCGTGAATCGTCGTCGGACACCCGGCCCACGCTGACACCCCGGCGCTGCTCTGCTGGGGGAGCAGGAGGAGAATGCCTCGGCCAAGTGCCCCTCAGACCTACTGAGCCACAGCCGACCGAGATGTGGCAAGAAGAGAACACAATTCAAGGACGTGAACCCAAGCGCAAGCTTCCGGGTCAACGCCTGTGACGATTCACGACGGCCTGTCTCTGGTTTCAGCTGCTAAACTAAGCACCACGACGACCCTGTCTCCGTGGAAACGCCTGCTAAGGGTGTGCAATGGGACGCGCGCGACTGAAAGCACCCCGGTGCTGGCACCCGCTTTAGAACGGTCCAGACCAGGAGGTGGGGGATGAAACAAGAGGACAGACGGTGACCGTCCAGGCTGGGGATGAGCGTGCGTGGGAACACCTTGGACTAAAAGCTAAAACAGCAACAGTAACGCCGCCTCGAGGACACAAAGGAGGTGGCAGGAACCCCAGATCTAGACACCCAACCCTGTCCCGCTGTCCCCCAAGGGTCCCAGAGGAGCAGGGGCACTGAGGGTGGAGCCAGGCAAAAGCCTGGGGACCTGAGGCTGCACAGCCCAGAGGAAGCCCTCCCCACATAGGACAGGGCCAGGCTGGCCGTGTTCCCCCCAACCCTGCCCTCACCGTGTAGGACAGGACCAGGTTGATCATGCCCTCCTTGTCGTCACCCTGCCGTCCGCTCAGGCTGTACCACTCATCCTCCACCTTTCCCTGCTTCAGCGACTCGGGGATGGTGACGTGCGTCCAGGCGATGCGGTCGTCCATGGAGAAGGCCCGCTGAGGGAGGGACCACAGGGAAACAGCACTTAGTGGGATCCCCATGGGTGCCCGTCCCTGCGCACCACCCCAACAATAGTCTCCTGAAGCCCCACCCCTCAGAGGCCCTCCCCTGGGATCCTCCAGCCCTCCAGGCAGGGTGCCCCCTCTCTCCACCCTCTGTGGGTCCAGGGAGAAGGGAGGACCCACTGGACCACTGCACTCACCCCTTCCAACCAGCAAGCGCGGGGACGCGCTCCCCCAGCTCATCGCACCTCCACCCTCCCTTACCCCGACCCTGCGGGCCGGAGAGGCAGGGTGAGGAGGGCACTTGAGCAGGGCAGAGCCCACAGGGACCATCTCAGCCCTGCTGCCCACTCTGAGCCCTCCAAGCCCTCGTCCGCCAACCAGAGCCACCGGGGCCACCCTGGCCCGGCCTCAGAAGCTGTGGGACACTCCCAGACAGGCATTTGGAGGACAGGCTGAGAAAGAGCCCAGCGCAGCCATCGGACACCCCAGGGACACTTGGGAGGCTCATGTGACCCAACCATAGAGGCCTATATCCACCCAGCACGGCGCCAACCCACATCACACCCGCACCCGCAGATAGCGGCTGCCTGATCTGCCTGGCGGGCAGAGCCTGGGGCACCTGCTGTCACAGAGATGCCGCATCCGAATGTAAGTTCTAAGGATCTGCAGTGAACACGCGCCTTTCACCATTGCTGGGGACAACAGGACAGCTGCCACCAAGCCCTAAAAAGCCCCGAGTGCACAAGCCAAAGGGCCAGACGGAGCTGCCCCCGAGGGGCCCCGGGCGGGCAGCGCCCCCACCTCGTCGAAGATCTCCAGGTAGAAGGAGTCGACGCCCGGGGGCACCGTGCACTGGATGATTTATTCCAGCGCGGGTTCTTGGCGCCGTTGTGGGCCGTGGGCGTCTCGTACACCGCGTAGCCCAGGCGCAGCCGGCAGTAGGGGTCCATGCGGGTCATGCCGTAGTTCTTTGCCAACTTGGCCTGAAAAGGAGCCGAGGTACAGGAAGGGGGCGGCCGTCAGATGAGAGCTGAGGCTAGGCTGCGGGGCCCACCCTCTCACCCTCCGCTCCAGCGTCTTCTGGTGTCCACCCAGCTACTCAAACCCACCAGAGCACAGTTCACAGTTCTAGCTGCAGAATGGGCCCTCCACATCCTTGGGCCTAACCAACCACAGATCAAAAATATTAAGGAAAAGCATTCCAGAAAGTTTCACAAAGCAAAACTTGAATTTGCCACTCCGGCAGGATTTATATGGCTTTAAACTGTACTGCAGCTATTCACGTAGCATCCGTGGTGTTAGGTGACGCAGAGGGACCCGGGGATGACCTACAGCACCCAGGAGCACGTGCAAAGCTGCCCCACTTTGCACACGGGGCTGGAGCATCCATGGACCGTGGTGTCTGTGGGTCCTGGGATCAAGCCCGAGGACAGCTGGACTCTGGGCACCAGGAACGGGGAGAAATGCATGCTCGGTGGTGTGTGTCTGTGATAAGGACACACCAGAGAGCTGCCGGACAGGGGGTCGACCCCCCACCCCCAGGAGGAGGAGGAATGTGCAGAGGGCAGCCACAGCCAGCAGGGGACGGGGCATCCGGGAGACATGAGGCCTGGCCAGGGCCCTTCCTGTGCCCCAGATGGTGACTGTGCTGGTGCCCCACCTCCCTTCATGAGGGGGCGTCCCTCGGGAGTGACATCCCTGGTCACCACCACATGGGGCCGGGGTGCAGACAACTCGCTCGGGCATCACAGGTCTCGGAGCCCGAGGGGCCCACCCACATCGTACACGGGCCGAGGGCGCAGCAGAGCCAGAGGGCTGCCTGGGACGAGGAAGAGTCTGTGGGAGGAAACACGGACGCCCACGGAGGAGGGAGGCTATCTGTCGGGGGTACCCGCTCACGTGGGCTTAAACATGAAACCCAAACTACAGAACTCTGGTGCCTAGTGGGGACACACGGACGGACAGACGTCTCTGCCTCCCAGAGATGCAGGAGCAACACGGCAGCGCCCCTGACACCCTGAGAGCGCGTCTGGCCGGCACCCACCTGCACCACGGTGATGCTGAGGCGGCCCACACTGCCCAACGCCCCTCCGCACTGCAGCTGCCGGGCCGCCTGAGCGTCCAGCTGGATCTGCTGCTGCTGCTGCGTGGGCGTGATGCGCAGGAAGTCCTGCGGGAGCTCCCCGATGAACACCTGCAGGGGCAGAGCGCGCGTCGGGGGTGGGGCCGTAGGCTCCGGGTCTCCAGCCTGCGGACCCCTCCCGGGGGCCTGCACTCTCCAGAGCAGGGCCCCTCTCTTGCTCCAAGGGCCCCCCCCATCACGGTTCTGCCCTGAGGCCGGTCTTGCACGCTAGCCGGCCAGTGGGGCGGATCTCAGGCCCCACTTGCTCTTGCCCGTGAGTCCGCAATCCCCTTCCTGGTACCAGGACGGCTGCCAGCAAGACCTGTCCAACAAACCAACGGGTGATCTCCGGGACCAGGAGAGGTCTCTGGGCTGAAGCCCTTCAAACATCTGCACGAGAAACGGTTCACATACAAGAATGCCCCGAAGACAAAAAGAAGCCAATGGATTAACAGCAAGAAGCCCCCAAGACTCAGCCCTGGAGAGACGGAAGCGATGGGACGGCTCCAAGGGAGTGACGTCTCCCAAGGAAACGGGAGGAGACTGAGCAAGAGTCGGTCGGGGCTCCACCAGCAGAGGTGAGCTTGGAGGGTGGGCCGCACAGCCAGGCTGGCCTGACCCAGAGCGCTGTGACCCCCAGTTCAATGACTCTGCTCTTTCCAGGAGGCGTGGGAAGAGGGCTGGAGGGGTCACAGTGTAAGCAGAGCCCAGGTGAAGGGAAGAGAGGAGCCGCAGGACCCACGGCAGGAGGCCTGGCTGCTGGGGGGACCGGAGCCACAGCCCCAAGGGCCAGGCACTGCCTGTGGTGGCCCTGGCCCCCCGTCACTGCCCAGGGGACGCCACAGACCCCGGCTGAGGGCCTTGAAGGACCTTGAAGGAAGACCCCAGGGTGTTGCAGGACTTTTGGCAACTGTTTACAGACAGCAGCCACCAGAGACCACCTGGATGTCCAGACGCCCTGGACCCTGAGGCCTCTCCTGCGCAGACCAGACAGCACCTGGTGCCCTGGGCCGCCCAGCGACACGGCGTCCAGCAGGCTGCAGAAGGCTCCGCGCTCACGGAGCTCACAGCCCGCACCACCATTCCTTTTGAGGATCCCTGCAGAGGCCTGGGCTTGCCTCCTTCCCCATCCCAGGCCCACAGACCACACACACCCCATGGCACTGGTGGAAGTGGACGCACTCGGGATCTGCCTGGGGCTCCCCCCACCTCTGCAACCACCAGCCTGGCTCGGCCTGACCCCATCTGGGAGCTGCTCGGAGCCACCAGAGGAGCCGTTCCACACACGCTCTGCATCACGAGGACCCATCGGGGGGGGGCACTTCTCACAGCCCAGTGGGCCCAGCGGGTGCCCAGAGGCCTGGGGTTGCCAAGAGAGGGACACACCTTCCCTCCTGAGGGCGTCACCGCTGCGTTTCCCAGGCATGTGGCACAGCTAGACAGGTCCCAGGGCGTGCCCTGCAAGGCAGGCCCGAGGTGACCCCCTGCGCCCTGCCCCCCACCCCTGCCAGGAGGGCTGAGATGCTGAGGACACACCAACGGCCAGTTCCTGCTGGTGTCCCAGAAACACAAGCACCCAGAACAGAGCCTGGCCCCCTCCCAAACACGCCCCCCATGGAGCCTCTGGGCTCTCAGGGCTGGCAGTGAGGTCAGGAGCTGGGAAGGAGGAGCCGGTACTCAGAGCGTCTGCGGGGCCGGCTCTGCCTGAAGGCACAATGGTGGGGGCACACGCACCCGCTCTCCCGCCAGAGACAGCAGCAGGGCTGAGGCCCAGGGCAGGGGTGGGTCAGGGTGGTCTTACATTACTCTATAAACCCATCCCCCTCCCCTATTCCTATCATCCACACCTTCCCCAACCTTCCGGGTTACCCACGTCAGGATGGGCTACTCGAGGCCAAAACATCTGGATGTCCCGACTCTGCCGGAGCCCGCAGCCCACACAACTTCTGTACCAGGGGACTGAGGGGCCGTGGTGTTAACGAGCACGAAGACGCTGGAAGACCGATGAGAGAGAGAGGACAACCACAGTCCCCAAGCAAGCACCAGACCAGGAAAGCTGGCGGGACAACCAGTGGTTTCCACGGGGTCTCGGCCAGAGCTCCACGGCCCGCACGCTGGCCCAGGACCCGGGTGTCAGCTGAGATGGAACATCCCCAGCCCTACCAAAGTACTGAGGGGACCCGAGGGCTGGGACAGATGGGCAGACGCTCTGTGAGCTCCATGGAACCGTCACAGCAAGAAGCTGAGGGAAACGATCACTGCTCTCACAATGCGTGTGTTTTAACGAAAAGACACAAATGAGTATCAGCCAATTAACTGTGTGTGGAAAGTGGCGGCACTGTAAATACACACAGGTGGCTTCGTGGAGATGTCATCTCAGCGAAGACCCGATTGGCGGGGAGGTGTCATCATGCAGAACGTGGGGAGGAGCCTGCCTGGCAGCTGGAGGTACGGGGAGGTGGCTGGAACACAGCAAGCGAGGGAGGGAGAGCAGGAGGTCAGAGGCGGGGGGGATGGGCAGCCAGGAGTGGTGGCCAGGGGCTCTGACTCTCAGAGAAGAGAGGAAGGGAGCAGGTGGGGAACCTGGGGACAAGTAGAGAGCCAGAGCACGTGGGAAACCCAGGGGACCCAGGGCGAGTGGGGAGCCAGGGCAGGTGGGGAACCCAGGGCGGGCGGGGAACCCGGGGCAGATGGGCAACCCGGGGCAGGTGAGAGCCGGGGCGTACTGCACCACCCGTCTGGCTCTGCCTGGCACCCGGCTGCGGGATATAGCAGCAGGTGGACCAGTTGAGCAAGTGTGGCCGTGTGTGGGTGGTGCAGAGACTGAGAAAGAACCAGATTCTGGATGTGCTTGGAAGGCAGAGTGGGCAGAGGGACGCAGAAGAGGCCAGGCCACCTGACGTTTTGGCCTGAGCGATAAAAAGGATGGAAGTGTTGCCCAACTGAATGGGACAAAGTGGGGGGGGGGTCTGAGGAAGGAGGGGGCTGGTCTGTCTGTGACGTCTGGAACATTCCAGGGAGACGCAAGGAGCCATAGAATGCATGGACGTGGAACTGAGGAAGGAAGGCTGGGGGGGAGACAGTCACCGTCACGTGGCGGGTGGGGGCTGGCACCAGCCGAGATTCCCTGAGGGAAGCTGGTGACCTGGGCAGGAAGGGGCCGCTCTCATCTGCGCTCCAGGACAAACAGCCCAGACTAGCCACCGCCGTGCCCTCTGCCTGCTCAGTCACCCCTAGTCCCTCAAAGCACAGGCGGCTTTCCTCCTGGGGCCCACAGCCCCCACACTTGACACCCCCACCCCGGCTCCCACCGTCCAGCTGTAGGTGAAGCAAAAATAAACGGTAGGAGGCGTGCAGAAGGGAAGCCGCGCGTACGAAAGGCGGGGTGGCCAGTTTTCTGAGGCATGACGAATAACTCACAGGGACCGAGCAGCTGACAGCCAGGTCCTCCCTCCAAGCCGGCCGGGCCAGCAGGCACCACGGGAGAAAGGCGTCCACGTGAAGACACCGAGTCGAGAGACCAAAGTGAGAGCAGCGCCGGGACCGACTGACTGACGCGAACTCCCCTGTGGATGTCGCTGATGCAGGAAGAGGGGCCAGAGGGCGCTCGGAACTCAGGGAAGAGACGCGGGGGCGGGAGGGGCCGGGGACCCAGGGCACAGTCAACTGCTGCCTGCTCTACAGAAGCCATGGAGCCAGAAGAAAGATCTCCGCGGACTGGGAGCAGGACACTGTCAACCTGGGACCCCATGCGGGAGCCCCTTTCAGGAATCAGAGAAAGCACACGTGTACGAGCGCATCTGAACAGGCCCCAGCTCGAAACAACAACGTCCTCCTGGAAGGAGGGTAAACAAGGCAGCGCCTCCACACACAACCACCACGCTGGGACGGCCACCGAGGCGCGCGCTGACCAGCACAACGGTAATTCTTAGATCCTGATAAGTCTGCTTGATAAAATTTCCAGGATAACCACAAACAGAGCAGAGTTACAATACATGTTTCCCAAACCAGGAGAGACCAAAAAATGGAGCTTAAAAAACTATATTTATTCAACCCAAAAGAAGGCAAGGAGAGAAAAAGAAACAAAAGCACAAAAGAACACGGTGGGGGGGAGGGGCGTGCGTACAGCTACGCACATTAAGACTTTTTAACGTGTTCCAGTTAAAATACAAAGACAGACGGCCCAGACCTGACCTTTAACAATCCAGCTCTGTGCTGCTGACGACAGACCAGTCCGACACCAACGTTGAGAGAGAAGTCCAAGAACTAACAACTCCCCAGGCAGACGCTCCCTAAAAGGAAGCTGGGCTCTCCAGGTAGCATCAGACCCAACAAGAAAGGCTGGTGCATGGCCAGCAGGGCTGACGCGTGTGGAAAGGTGCGACTTACAGGAAGACGGGGCCAGTCTAAACCCGGGTGCTCTCCCAACTCAGCCTCAGAAAAAGCAGAGCTCACAGGGACCCAGAGGGGCAGGACTCGGGCCAGCGGGAAGGGGCGTGCCCGGAGCAAGAAGCAGTGAGCACTGCAGGCCGACAGCTGGGCTCGCAGTGGTGCTGGGGCAGAGGAAGGCAGGCACAGCCTAGAGAGAACGAGTTCCGACCTCTGGATGCTGGAGATCAAAGACAGAGCGCTCGGCGCGCACCCTGCCTCTCCTGTGCAGGCTGCGCTCAAGGACAGCCAGACGGTGTCAGCCTCACAGTCCCAGTCGGTAAGCACAGAGCAAGTGACACAGGTCAGTGTCAGCCTTCGCTTTCCCCCGTGAAGTCAGGCTCAGCAACAGTTACCAACATGTGCAAGGCTGCCGAGGACCTGGACACCACGGGCCACCCGACAGCTTGCCTCAGGTCTCACAGGGAAAAGACAGGACGAAGGGGCCCCCACAGCAGGACAGTAGGACAGCTGGTCCTTATCAGCTCCTGTAGCCTGGACTCAACGGACAGGCCCGCACATCTTGGCCTCCAACCAAGCATTAACCGTGGCCCGAGAGCTGACAGGAGCAGCGCTGCGGTCGGAAGCAGGGGTCCTGCAACCCCTACCGAGCCCTGTCGTGGAAGGCAGGCCCACACAACCACTCCTGGGGGTGCCCATCGGGTGCTTTTTAATAGGGGGTGGACTGACAGGGGCACTGGCTGGACAAGGCTTGTCAGAACAGAAACATCCACGTTGCAAAAAGTGGGCCAAAAGCACAGGGTTGAGCAACCTCAGGGCCGTTCAGGAAACACTCTGCCCAGAAGGTACAGACAGCCGGTCTCCTGGAACTTAGGCACACTCCTGGCAGGCTCCCCCTCAAGCACAGGGGAGACCCCAGACCGGTCAGACCCTCCTCCGTCTTCACGTGCCCAAAGACTGTGCCTGTCACTCCTTCACAACAAGCAGGAGGCGACAGTCAGACTTCAGAGAGGGCCCGAGAGAGTGTGAGCCCAGGCTCCGGGCACCCGGGCTGAACCCTGTCCTGCGCGCAGTGGGCTGACATTCAGGGGAGCCGCCCAGCACGGACCCAGCAGGGGAGCGCCCGCCAACTCCCTCCACCAGCCTGGCTGGATTCCTGGCTTCCGCCCACAGCCACACGCACACGGCAGCCAGCGGGGTCTCAGGCAACACGGAGTCTGTGCACCCGGCAAAGGGAAGAGGCCTCCACCAGACTCTGCTGACCACAAAGGTAAGGGCACTTCGGCGCTGGAAACTGGCAAAAAGGCCCCCACAAGGACGGCTAACCCAGACGGGAGCAGGCTGGCGGGAAGGTGTGGGAGCCAGATGGTGTGGGCCAGGCAAAAAACATTAAAAAAAAAAGAAAGAAAAGTGCACTGTGGCAATCAGATCAAAGTCAGCGCCAGATCCGCCTGCACCCGCAGGCCTCGGGGTCCGGCAGGCCCATGCCAGCAGGCACCGCCTCCCAGGACCCTCCAACCCCCAGACCCTGTCTGGGTCTGCTTTCCTCGCTCTTCCCTCACACCCGTCTCCCAACTCCAGCTCCCCCTTCAGTCCCAGGTCAAATGTTACTTCCTCCTGACCCCAGCCCAGGTGGGCCACCGCTCACCCCAACTTGAGCTCAGACCCATGGGTCTGAACGTGACCGTCCCTACGTGGAACATCCCGATGGCAAGCACCACACTGGTGACTGCCGCACCATGTCGCCCAGACACTAATGTCAACCGCACGGCGGGTGAGCCGCAGGGACCCTGGAGCCCAGACCTAACCTTACTGCACTCGTACAGGCCGTGCGGAGCACGCTGCAGACACTTGCTGGTCTCCATGTGGGATCTACGGCCACGCTGGCTGCAAGTGAACACGCCGGAGAGCAACGAGCACGAGGCTGGTCAGACAGACCAGGCCTTCAACAGCACAGGCCCCAAGTCCAAACACCCTCTGATGCCTGGTTCCCGCTGCAGCAGGGGCTGCTCACTCCCTCGCCGAAGGAGGGGATCACCCGCACTGAGCCCGGCCCCCGGGGTTTGCCTGCAACGCGTCCGTCGCCACCGTGCGAGTTCTAGACGAGCGCACCGAGCTCCCAGCAGGCCAAGGACATGCGACAGGCCAGGACCGGGGCCGTGCTGCCTGACGGCCACACCACTGCTCCCAGGGGAGGCCCTGATTGGGTCCCTTGCTTCTCTGATGAGCCATTTGTGTACAAATGAGACATTGCTGACAGTCAACCTGCGGTAACTCACGGTACACAGTGACGATGGAGACACACAGACGCGGAAAATCCCTCTCCTGACTCTGGGACGTCTCCACACCCCAGTCTGACAGGAAGTGCTGTCAGGTCCAATTCACATGCTCAGGAAGAGCCTCTGTGCCTGAAGGGCTTCTGACAAGACCTGGGTCTTCCTCAAACTCAGAATCACCTTCTGTGGAAAGGCTTCTTTTCCGGTCGGCAGAAGCCCAAACAAGATTCATCAGCCCCATTTCAAGGGGGGAGGAGCCCTGGCAGCGGGGCTTACACTCAGCAGCGGACGTTCTGAGGGAAGGCACATCAAAATGTCACGTGAGAGGAGCCTCATTCCTACTCAGCAGGACCCAGGTGTCCATCTACTGCACGTTTACAGCTGCGCTTGATAAAAGCTTCACTACTCACGAGGACCCACCCAACCCAGCCTGAACGCGCGGCTGGAGCCGACATGAACCGTCTGTACTCGTGCTCCTGCAGAGACACAGCGAGCGGTGCCCCGGGGACACGGCGAGAGGGCTAGGGGTGAGGGGCACGCCCAGCTCTCCACTCCCAACCCCCCACTTGTCACTGAAGAAACCGAGCGGTTGAGAAACGGCCACTAACTGGGGACACAGCTGAGCCTGGGAGCCTCACCCTGCCTGCGGGCAGAAAGGATGGCAGGCCCTCCACCCAGCCAGGGTTCAGAGCGCCTCTCTACGGAGGGACCCACCGGGTCCGGGGCCTCCTTGCCGGGGTGCCGGGCCTCCCCGACCCGGGACCCACCGGGAGCCGTGCCTCCCCCACTGGGAACCCACCGGGAGGCGGTCCTCCCCGACCCGGGACCCACCGGGACCCGGGGCCTCCCCCACCGGGGACTCCCTCCTGCTCGCCCAGAGCCCGGCGTCGAGCCCTCCCCTGTGCCCAGAGGCCGTGGAGCCTGCCCACGGCCGGAGCCTACCGGCCCGCGCTGCGTGCTGACGGTGGTCGCCATGGTCTGACCGGCTCGGCGTCTCGCCCGCAGAGAGCTGACCCGCCGGCGACCCTCCGCGCGGAGCCACGAACCGTCGGTGGTCCCGCGACGCCGCCGCCGCCACAGTCAGCTGACGGCCGGCCCCGCCCCTGCGCTGCGCACTGCGCAGGCGCAGCGCCGCACCGCCCCTTCCGGCGTCGCGCACGCACGCGCGCTCTCGCCGGGCGCCTGCGCAGTCGCTTCCCCCGC